GCGGCGGCGGGACCCCCGCCCAGAGCGGCGCGCGGCTGCGGTCCCTGCCTGGGGCCGAGCGGCCCGCTCCCGCCGCGGGGCGGGGCTGTTTACCTGCGGCAAGTCCGCGGCGTGGCTCCGCCCCCACCCCCCGCCACGCAGATGCGGCGCCGGCGATGACTTTGCAAAAAACGTTTAGATTGAATAAGATGAGTTAATAGTGACTGGCCCCTCTTCCTTCGCACTCGGGGCAGGCCCGGCGACGGCCACGCTCGCCCCCGGCGCGGGCGGTGGCTCCGCGGTGGGGACAGCGACAGGGGGCTGGCGCCCACCCCCCGCGCCGAAGCCCCGGCCCAACCCTGGGGTCCCGCCGTCGCCCCCAGCGCCGGTCCTCGTTCTGCCCCCGTCCCTCTCCCGGGGCGCCTTCCCCGCGCGCCCTCTGCCCGCGGAGGCTCCGTCTCCCGGGGCGCTGCGGACGCCGCCCTCCCCGCGCCGCCAGCCCGCACGCAGACGCTGGGGTCGTTTGGCCCCCGGCCCGCGCCCTCCTGCGCGTCGCTCCCCGCAGCCTTGGCCCCAGCTCGCGCCCCCGCGGGCCGACATCGCTCCGCCCGCCCCGCAGTCGGGTGCGCGGGTCAGCCGGCCTCCTGCCCTTGCCGCCGCCGCCCTTGCCTCTCCCCCCGGCCCCGCGGACGCCCGCGCTCCACGCCAGGCTCTGGCCCCTGCCGCCAGCACGACCCTCTGGCCCAGCGGTCCCTCCCTGCGCGCGGGTCCCCTTCGCACTGTGACAGGGTCTAGACGCACCACCTTTGAAAACACTTTGTGTGCTTGGAGGTTTAACTTACGTAATTCATGCAACAAATACGTAGCCCAAACACTGCAGCTGTGGGGGAACCCCTGACCTCCCTGGGCTGGAGAGCGGGGACGTGTTGTCAGATTTTTAACTTTCGTACCATCTCTCTTCTCTCTGCTTTTAAAGATCCCTGCATGTTTAGACACCGGCCCCTGGCGTCCTGCATATTTTACTTTATTTCCTAGTGAGGAAGTGCAGTGCATCCCATACCCACTCCCCAGATAACCCAGTTCCCAGGATAACTCAATCTCCCCAGGATAACCCAGTCCCTCTGGATAACAGTCCCCACAGATAACCCACTACCGGGATAACCCAGTCACCCTGGATAACCTGTGACAGCAGATCCAGCTTGACCGGGGCTCCTGTGGCAGCACAGGTGGCCTGGGCTGGGGGACACAGCCACGTGGGAGGCAGGGAGGTGGCAGAGTGTTGTCCAAGGGCCAGGCCAGCACAACTGGCTCTGCAGGGAGGGTAGGTTTGGGTGCCCACTAGGCACCTGCCTGGAGAGGTCGTGCCGGCTGCTGGATGGGCGTGTGCGTGTGCGTGTGCGTGGCTCAGGGAGCATCTGGAGCCACAGGCCTGAGAGACCACGCTGAGCACCCGGAGGCTGGAGGGCTGGGCCTGGAGTTAGCACGGCTGCCCAGCGAGGGGTCACCCGAGCTGGGGAGGGCAGGCTTGGGGTGGAGGACGGCACTCCATGTCGCTGCTGGGTGCGTAGTGCTTCCAAGGAGGGTGACCCAGGGGCCAGAGGGCGCTGGGTCAAGGGTGAACTTTGCACCGGGAAGGGCTAGTGGAGGGACACTGAGGCAGGGACACGTGTCTGTTGAGTGGGCTGTGCCAGGAGCATGGCCACAGGGGACCGACCGCGGGGCCTGCGGTGCTGCTGGCGTCAGCGAGCATCTGGGAGGGAGCGAGGCGCCCTCACCCCAGTTGCTGCACGAGGGTCAGCAGTGGAGATGCGGCTCTCCAGGGAAGCGCCTTCCAGTCACCTGTGCCGTCCCCGCCCCAGACTCTGAGCGACCAAGACACGCTCCCGACAGATGGGTAGAAGGGCCCCAGCCGGAAGGAAGGGGACAGGTCCTCACTGACCACCTGGGCTCCGAGCCCTGGCCTGGCTGGGCTGTGGCTGATGGGGGAGGGAAGCTGCCCTGCTTTCGGGTGGCTCTGGCCCACCTGGGCCTGTCCTGGGACAGGGCGGCAAAGTCCTTCCTGTCGCCCTTTTCAGAGACAACTCCCAGCCCAGCGTCTCAGAGGCAGGACCTCGAGGCTGGAATGACGTCCGACACCCCACACCCAGTCCCTGCTCTTCCAACCCGGTCCTGACTCCTGGGCCCCTCCCACCGCAGGGTCCACAGTCCCGTCCACTGACCACTTCTGCTTCCTCAGCCGCCCACGGCGCTGGCCCTGCAGACCCCGGCACAGGCCCATGAGCCACGCCTGGGCTTGCTGCTTCCATCCTGGGTGGCTGCACGGCTCAGAGGGGCCCACGAGGACTTCCCGGGCCCACCTGGGCTGCTGCCCCGGCCCAGAGACTGAGGCTTGTGCCATGCCAGGTTGTGACCAGGCCATGTACCCAGGGCCCAGGGCTGGGTTCATGCTCTGTTGTTGCCATGTTGAAATTCTCAGGAATCCTGTCCTTGAATTGGCGTCAGCACGAGTCTGACAGACCCAGGTGCCCGCAGGTGAGCAGAGGCCACGTTTCACCCACAGGCCTGCGAGCACAGAATTCCTGTGGAGCCCCCACCTGCCTGCAAAGGGCTGGATCCCTCCACACTGCTCCTTCCCGGATTCTGAGAACAGCCAATTCCCCAAGCGCTGTAATTCAGCAGCAGAGTGGAGGTGACCACCCACCGCGCGTGAGGCCTGTGCCGACCTCTCTGGCTGGACGCTCCCAGGAGCTGCGGCTTGAGCAGGGACCCACCGCTCCTGCTGGGATGGCAAGGGCAGGAGGGTGCCCGGCACAGCCACGAGCTCCCTCGTCACGTGCAGCTCCTGTGGGGCCAGCCCTCGCGCAGACCAAGTGCTTGCTCCTGTCTGGGGTGCTGCCAGGGCCCCCACGCGCCTCAGCACCACCCCAGCCGCCTTCCCAGAAAGAGCCTTCAATTTCCAAATGCCATTGCTCGCTTGGAGCCACGGGGGAGGTGCCGGCAGTCCCTGCTCAGAGGCCGCCTGCCTGGAAAGCGCTTCCGGGAGTTGTGGCTGCGATGATCTCAGTGCGACCACCCTCGGTAGGTTGACAGCTGTGATCCTGGCCTCTCGGCAGACCTTCTTCCGACTAGCGATTTCTGCTTCCCAGGCAGACGCTACATCCTGAGAGCACAAACCTGCCTCTCCTGGAGGAAGGCGGAGGCAGCAGGTCCCTGGCCTGAGGTGTCTGAGCTCCCCTGGGCCTGGCCCACAGCTGCTTCAGGCAGGTGCTGGTGCCAGTGTGCCCGTGGGGACAGCAGGCACAAGCCAGGTCTGCCCCACCTGGGCCCTGAGGGCGTGCCTCCCAGTGGCACCTCCCAGCCCAGGGTTTTGTTTTTTATCCAGGCTGCTGCCAAGCCCGTGAGACTCTGCACCCCCAGTTTGGGACAGGGTGGGACTTGGCCCTGGTGCTCCCTGCAGCATCAGTCCTGCCCTGCTCCTCCCAGCCGCCCCCAAACACACCATCAGCCCCCAGCCTGCAGTTTATTCCTGGCCCAGAGATGTGGTCCTCAGTACCTTGGGGGTTCAGGTCTCCAAGCCTGCACCGTTCACCAAGGAACCACCCGCCTGTGCACAGTGCTGGCATCCACGTGGTGCAGCGATGGCCGCTCTTGGGCAGAGGGGACTGGTGGGGGCTCCATTACAGCCCACTCGGCCGTACCCTCTTGGAGGCACCGGGGCCCAGCGCAGACTCTGTGCACTCTGCACCACCGGCTCATGGCTGCTGCTCTCTGCTCAGCAGAGCTGGCGGCCTTGCCTGGTGCTTGGCACATGGCTGGGTCAGGGCAGAGTAGAGAATGGGCCATCTCCAAAGACTGCACCCAGCGGGTGTCAGAGGTCACATGGAACCCCCCACCCCCGGTCGTCACCAACACAGGCACATCTGAGGTGGAAGGCAGCTGGGGTTACTCGAGCATTTATTTCGGGTGGGGTGGCAGTGACCGCCTGGTGGCAGGAACAGGCCAGCTCGTACCAAAGTCGGCAGCAGGAGCAGCTCAGAAGGACCCTGGGGCCCCTCCCACGCACGCAGCCCTGGCTGCCAGACAAGGACAGGCCACAGGAGTCACGGGCCAGGCACGGCGACATGCGCTGGGCCAGGCGGAGCCCAGGGGTCCACAGGGGAGGTACACGGCAGGGCAGCCCCCGTGGATCAACCGGGTTCCCGACATTTCTCTGGTCTCGAGGATCCTGGCACTGCTGGGCGGCCGGGGGCAGGGGCATCACCTAGGCATAGCTGCAGGTGGAGAAGCCTCCAGGGAGGGGGCTCCTTTGCCAGTGTGGGTTTTGCAATGCGCCGTGTTCACTCCCTTAGGCTGCACAGGGAAGAGTGGCACTGACCCGAAATGTCAGGAGGCAGGGTGAGCAGAAGGGGCCAGGCTGGGGCCTGAGGCTGTAGCGGTCAGGTGTGCGCAGGGGTGGGGGGAGCAGGCAAGGTGCAGGGCTGGGCAAGTCCTCAAGCCCGTCCCTCAGGAAGACAAGCAGCAGCGCTCACCTCTGCAGAGACTGCAGTTCGGGAGGCAGATTACAGCCCGTGTAGACACCGTTGGTGATGCTGTATTCCAGCAGAGCCCCGAAGCAGGGATCCTGCGGGGGATAGAACGAGCCTGGTCCCAGCACGTCTCCAAGGGGGGCCCTCCCAATCCCTTTCTCCTGGAGCCAGCCACAGCCCACAGCGCCCACAAACTCACTCGGACAAGAACGTGAGGGTTTCCCAGCACAATCAGCAAAGCTTTGGGTCTGGTGATTGCAACATTAAATCTTTTTGAGTTGGACAAGAAACCCAAAAAATACCGATCATCTTCAAATCCATCTTCATTTGACCGTACCTAAAAAAACACAAAGATGAATAACAATGGTATTTTAATTGTTTTGTGGGCATGATATATGAAAATATTTACAAATGTTAAGTAGCAGTATCACTGCATTTTTGGTTCACAGAGGGGTGGGCAGGGAGCAGGGAGTGGCCACATTACCTGTCTGCAGTCGGGGAGACTCCCCCAGCTAAGGGGTTATCTCTGGATGGTAGGGCCTTAGGGGATTTTATTTTTGGATCTGAATTTTCTAACCTATCTGCAATTAACATGGACTGTTCAATAAAGATAATTTAAAATAGGAAATGGAGTGTTGGGAATTGCGCTTGGTGTTTGCTGGCGGCACCACTGGAGCTGTAGCATGGGCCAGGCGCCAGCCTCCCAGCAGCCCCGGCCTCTGCTCTGTGGCCTGTCGACGCTGCGTCCCTCCTTCTCCTGGGTCCCTGCTCTCTACTCTCCTCTCTCCTGATCTGTGAGTGTTTTTCTAAGAATTCCTGCAGTTCCCGCTGACGACGGTGCCCGGCCCAGAGGCCCCACCTGCGGCTGCCCTTCTGCCTCCCTGACCACTTGAGCCCCCACTGCCAGGTGACTTCCACGTGCATGGAAAACCGATACCTACAGTTGAAATGATGATCACCAAATGTTCCTGCCCTTGAAACTCCTCTACTGATCCAACCTTTATATCCATCAGATCGACATTTCGCAAAAGAATTTTGATTTTCTCCACCTTTAAAACAGATTAAAAGGAAGATTAAGATTACTGCTAA